ATTTTGATATATTGATATATATAATATATGGTATATATATCAATAATTTTGATATATTGATATATATAATATATGGTATATATATCAATAATTTTGATATATTGATATATATATTTCTATATAACGAATATATATATATATATAATTATGTATATATATGTGTGCGTGTATGTCTATAATAAGCTTTATTATTTGAGAAATGTATAAAATGTCCATACTCTGGCTGGATAGTAATAGGAATTTTTGCAATCCAACTTATTATTTACTTCATCATTATAGTGAGAGCAAACATATTGGACGTCACAGTATATCCTCCAGTTAATAATTACACAAATGGGCCCAAGGCGCCCACATTAAATGGTCATTCCAGGTTTTCTTAATTTCAAGAAGAATAATTATATTTCTGTATGTATTTTTAATTCAAAATATGTATTTAGAAAATGTTTTTTTATTATAAAAGTTTATATTATGTTTAACAAAACATTGCTACAGGATGAGTGCAATATGAGAAAAAGATCGATCGATATTATAAAGGGACATTAATAGTATTATTAAGTAGTAGTATTATTAAATAGTATTATTAAGTAGCATGTGTAGTATGTACTAAAAATGAACTGTAAAATTCTAATGAGCTAGCGCAATGTGCTATATTTATGTATACTATTTTATCTAAATGTATCTATTGGATTCAATAAACATAGTCATTATCACCATCGATCATCAAAACGTAGCGATTGCAGCGTCTGGCGTTAGAGACACTGATAGGATTCGTCAAGTTACAACAGAGGTAAAAAAAGTAGCAAAAAACCTTTTTTTTGTTATTTTTGAAACAATGTTGCAGATAAACTATGACGTGTTAGAGAATTTCAATGGTAATTAAAACTTGAAACTTGTTCTGTGAATCATAATGAAAATAATATTACACCTCTATATCCTGAACAATAGATTTTCGTTGCGTGCATGCACTCATCTTTTGGAAAACGGACCGAACTAATTTGTACTCCCAATATATAAAAAAAATCTTAAAAAATTCTCGGATAACCCAATCCTGATGCCTGGAGACTTGTTTAGATGCGCAATTCCAAACTTGTCTGAGAGGCATATAATTTGGACTGTAGTCTGTAAAGCCCATTCTATAATGGTAATAAGCAGTAAGAAGTAACTCACCTTTGGTGAGTGAACAAAAGTGGAGGACATGGAGTGAGTAGTGTTATTTATCAAAATAAATTGTGAAAATGTATTATCGATCAAGATAGACAGATACGATATTATTTTTATTATGATCTCGAAATATGAGGAGGTTTAAACTATAATTCAATTCCAATTGAAAATCTGTATCATGTTGCAGATTTACCTGCATCAAGCGTCCGCGAAATCAGCGTCCGCGTAAGCTCCCTTAATCCAAATTTCGCCGAAATCGAAAAACCTTTAAGATTTTTGCAATTTTTCCGTCCGCCATATTGGATAAATCTTTTTTAATTATCATAATTTTTACCTTGTTTTTGAAAGAGCGTCCTCGAAAACCCCTTGTTACCAAAATTCACCGTTATCGGATTACTTTAAGTGCCCCAACGAATAGAGGCTTCAAAAAAACGTCTACACGCCTTTTTTAAGATATGAATTTCATCTAAGCTGTATTTTATAACATACAGATAAGCGTAAAATTACATTTTTACCTGCTTTCTAAGTGTGTGGGCTTGTGCCTCTATGCGCTATGTGTAGCGCTATTTTCTCTTTTGAAACGCCTTGTGGCTCAGGTATTAATTGGTTATGCTTGGTGCAACTTATAATAATGCTCGAAGGACCAGTGTTGGCAAAGAAGCAACACGAAAAAGAATTGATAATGATACTTTATTTATTCTAATAAAAATCATGCATGTGCATGCTTGACAGGCGTAGGACTAAGAAGAAAACGAACTAACTAGAAGAAGGAAGTGACGCGCGAACGAACACGAAAATGAACGAGCGTACACGAACGCAAAATGAACGCTGGCGAGCGGAGGAGAAGGGGAACGCAGGTAGCGCTCCTTTCAGAAGGAGTGATCGCAGCAAAGCGAGCAAAATACAAAATCAAAAAGTGCGTAGCGCGTACAAACCGCCGACCTTGAAAGCTTCGGCTTTCAACAAAATAATGATATGATTACGCAATTCAAACGTACAAAATAATAGCATAGATTAATATGGAGTGATATGAGCTTAATTATTCTCAAAGGGAAGAACGCATAATCGTGTAATAGGACGCTTATAAATACCAGACGATGTACGAATTGTAACTATACGAACAATGTTATCTTTATCGGGATGTAATTCGACAATTCTAGCGAGAGGCCAAGAAAGAGGTGAAACAGAATCTTCTCTCAGAAGAACCATCTGTCCGACATGTAATGGACTTTCCTTAATTGTCCACTTATTTCGCTGCTGGCAATAATGTAGATATTCCTTTGACCATCTTTGCCAAAAGTGTTGACGTATTTGCTCCACTCGTTGCCAACGAGAGAGCCTAGTAATAGGGATCCTTTCCAATGATGGTTCAGGATACGATGTCAATGGTGCTCCGATTAAAAAATGGCCTGGAGTAAGCGGCGTAAGGTCAGATACATCGGATGAAACGGGTGTGAGAGGACGCGAATTAAGAATCGCTTCAATTTGAATGACTAGTGTTTCTAGTTCCTCGTATCTTAGATGAGCCTGTCTAGTAACTCAATAAAGATGACGTTTGGCTCCCTTGACGGCAGCTTCCCATAGTCCACCATGATGGGGCGCTCTAGGAGGTATGAAACGCCATTTGATTCCTTTAGAGGACGCGTAGTTAACAATCTGTTGATGGCTTTCTTGATTCTTGAACAATGCAGCTAGCTCATTTAATTTTCTTTCAGCTCCTTTGAAATTTAAGCCATTATCCGAATAAATGATAGTTGGGCATCCTCGCCTAGAAATAAAACGCTTCAGAACATTAAGAAATGCTTGAGTGGATAGATCAGTTGCCAGTTCAATATGAACAGCTGTTGAGGCAAAACAAATAAATATGGCAATATAACATTTTAAAAGCTTAGAAGTTTTTCTTAAGCCTTCTTTATAGTATAGAGGGCCCGCGTAGTCGACTCCGCAATTTTCGAAAGGCCGCTCGGGAATTGTGATCCTGGATTCGGGAAGGTTCCCCATTAGCGTGGATGCCATCTTAGGTGAGCTTCGAAAGTAAACAACGCACTTGCGAGTAATTTGTCGTACAACGTCCCTTGCAGCTATGAGCCAATAATTTTGTCGAACAGCAGATAATGTGGCGTGGGGGCCAGCGTGAAAGTGTTTCTCGTGCTCGTGTAAAATGATGAGGCGAGAGAACGGATGATTTCCAGGCATTAAAGCTGGATATTTGGCGTTGTATAGGAGATGTGATAATTTGAGTCGGCCTCCTACTCTCAGAATTCCTGCTGCATCGATAAATGGATTTAATCGTAGGATTGGGCTATTTTTGTTAAGATTTTGTTGTCTGGAAAGCGATTCCAATTCCTTAGGGAAATGCAGCCTTTGAACTATTTTCAATAAAGTCTTAATGGCGTGATCCGTTTCATCAGGAGTTATGACAAGAGTTGTATTGTTAGCAGATTGTGGCTCCTGATCAGACTTGATTCTTTGTTTTAATTCGTTGAAAAATCTAAAGATGTATGCTACGATTCGAACAAGTTTCATAAAACTTGAGAATCGCTCGAAAATATCAAAGGATGATGACGCAGCAGTAGCTGATGTGATAGCAGAAGATTTGTATTCAGGTATATCTCGTTTGTTGATAGTGAATGGAAATTGAGGCCATTGCTCCTTGTCGAGTTTCAGCCAAGCGGGTCCCGACCACCAAAGAAGCGTATGTGACAATGCAGCCGGAGATATGCCTCTGGATAGAAGGTCAGCTGGATTGTCCTGAGTAGATACATGATGCCAGTCTTGTATAGCGGTCAATTGTTGGATATCGCCAACACGATTGGAGACAAATGTCGACCATGTACGACTAGATGATTGTAGCCAGGCTAAAACGATAGTGGAGTCGGTCCACAGATAAATAGATGTAATTTTGTGAGTAATACGTTTCAAAATCTTGTCAGTGAGTTGAGCCAACAGAAGGGCTGCGCATAGTTCCAAACGCGGGATAAAGAGACTCTTGAGTGGAGCTACGCGATTTTTAGAACAGAGTAATCCAACTGAAATGTTTCCGTTGGCATTAATGGCACGTAAGTAGATGCATGCCCCATAAGCTCGTTCACTGGCGTCGGCGAACCCATGGAGCTCTAATGAGATATATTCATTCAGCGTGATAGCGCGTCGTGAAATAGATATGTCTCTTAAGATTGGCAATTCATGTTCATAGCGTTTCCATTTAGTAGATAAATTCAAAGGAAGAGCTTCATCCCAACCAAGCTTGAGATGCCAGAGTTCCTGAATGATGATTTTGGCAATGACAGTCGCAGATCCAAAAAGTCCGAGAGGGTCAAAAACCAAGGCGACTCTTGAAAGTACTTTCCTTTTGGTGAGTGCAGCCAATGGTGGCAAACAGGCGACACTAGAAAATTGAAAGTGATCGTGGGTACAGTTCCACACAAGACCCAGTGTCCTTGTTTTGCATTCCTTGTCGGACGATAGCACGAATTCCTTTTCAGGATTGGAGACTTGATTGTCTTGAAGATCAGGTACATTAGAGGACCATTTACGCAGCTCAAAACCGCCCTCAAGAAGCAATTGTCTAGTCTGAATCTTGATGGTGGAAGCATCTTGCAAATTGTCAGCGCCGGTGACCAAGTCGTCGACATAAAAATCATCTAAAACTGTCTTGGATCCGACGGGATACTTCTCAGAGCTATCCTCAGCTAATTTCCTAAGCGATCTAATGGCTAGGAAGGCAGCAGATGCTGTACCGTATGTGACGGTCAAAAGCTCAAAAGTTTGAATGGGTTGATCCGAAGAGTCACGCCAAAGAATGCGTTGCAGAGAGGTTTGATTCGGATCGATTAAAACTTGTCTGTACATCTTTGCCACATCTGCAGTCATGGCATATCTGAACATACGAAACCTTATTAATATTGAAAACCTGTATAGTGGGACCTACCAATAATGCATCATTTAACGAGATTCCAGTGGTTGTTTTGCAAGAACCATCAAAAACCACTCTTAGTTTGGTAGAGGTACTCGTTTCTTTGTATACGGCATGATGCGGCAGGTAATACATTTTGCTGGCATTATCTGTGGTGTGAGACACCTCACGCATGTGACCAAGTTGTATATATTCTTGTATAAACCTCTTGTATTCCACATGCAATTTAGGAGAGGTTACAAAGCGTTTCTCTAAAGATTTGAAGCGGCGAGTGGCTATTTCCCTTGATTCACCGAGTTCAGATAGCTTGTCAGGTATGATCGGTAGCTGGACAACGAAGCGTCCATCACAATTGCGTTTGACCGTGTCCTTGAAGAGATTCTCGCAAGCTAGGTGCTCTGGAGAAAGTGTCGAAGAGGATATCGAATGATCTAATTCCCAAAAACGACTTAGTGCATGATTTAAATCTTCCGTTACAGCTAAACAACTGATGATTGAAGAATTAGAGTTAGTAGGAATACTTGCTGTCGGACCAGATAAAATCCACCCCAAGAGAGTTTTCTGCAATGTTGGTTGATTTCCAGAAGTTTTAATTTGACCTGCGCAAATGAGCTTCCAAAATATCTCAGCGCCAATTAACATGTCAATGTCGGCAGGAATATTGAAATCAGGATCAGCAAATTTTAAATTGTTTGGTATAGTAATATTTTGTTTGGAAATGAATTTTTGAGGCAATTGTTGCGTAATTTTTGGCAAAACAATGCATTCGATCCTCTCGCTAAAATTGTTGAACCGCGACTTAATATGTTCTACTGTAGATTGATTGGCTCGAAAGTTAGCATTAGTTACACCTGAAATAGATATCTCTATTTGCCTTTTATTGAGGCACAATTTGTCGGCAAGACTCTGCGTAATGAAATTCATTTGTGATCCGCTATCTAACAATACACGACACGAATGGATGTGTTTATTACAGTCAAATACATGAATAATAGCTGTTGATAATATAATTCCTAGAGATTGATGAGTAGATAAACATTGTGTTGCAACTGGCTTCGCAGAAGTTTCTGTATCGGAAGTTACAGCTGCTTTCGCATTAGACAACTCGTTAGCGTCTGCTGACTTTGACAAATGTAAAAGTGTATTGTGTTGACCTTTACATTTGCGACAAGTACTTGAAGTGCAATTTTTAGCTTGGTGAGAATGAGATCTTAAACAATTAAGACAAAAATGAACTTTCTTTGTGAAGGCGATTCTGCTTTCTACTGGTAATTTGAGAAACGCTTCACAATAGTAAAGCGGATGATTTTCCTTACATTTAGGACAAGATAAATTAGAAGTCGCGAGATTTGAAACCCAAGAATTTTTTGATTTTGCAAAATGATTGATTAAGGATTTGCTAGAAATTGCTTCAAGCGCGCTGCAACGTTTTGAAAGAAAATCAGCCAGTGATTTTAGTGTGGGAATTTCCATATCAGGAATGCTTGTTTCCCAAGCCTTGGTAGTAACCGTATCAAGTTTCAAAATTATAAGATGAACGATTAAATCGTCCCAAGTATCTGTGGGTCTTCTCATGGCTTTAAGAGCGCGCAAATGTTTTAAAACTGTATCTAATAATTCACGTAACTGAGCATGATTTTCTTTCGTTACTGGAGCGATTCGAAAATGGCCTTAATGTGCTTTTGTAATATCCACCGTTTGTTGTCAAATCGTTCCTTAATAGCGTTCCAGGCATCCTTATAATTGTCGGTGGTTTTCAATTGACTTTATTATTTCAGCGGCCTTGTCCTTGAGGGAAGATCGCAAATAATGGAATTTCTCTATCTTGGATAAATTTTGATTGGTGTGAATTAATTGTTCAAACATATCATGGTAAGCATACCAATCCTCGTAGGAACCTGAAAACACTGGAAGCTCGATTTTAGGTAACTTAACATGCGCTTCCCTGCGG